TGGTAGGTATATTGAACAATGTGCAGCGTATAATATAATGTATCTATAAACATAATACATGATGAGTTATGATTTATGACGTTAGGTACCTGCATATACTATTATTATTAACTTGAAAATTGATGTAGTTTCAATTGTATAGTTACATCCATATAGGTGGCAGCTAAGACTACATTTATATTTTGGTGCGGTGTGGACTAGAAGGGGGGTTGTAGAACTCATATTTTCAACTTATTGAAGTCTTATAGAATCTGTGTATACATTTACCTTTCTACTATAAGTTGATATAGGTACTTGTAAATATTTTGTAATAAATAACAATTGAAATAAATATTAATTTATTATACCTATTTCACAATATTTATCCAGTACGATTCACCAGACAACAACACAGCGCCATAGTTAGGAATTGGGTCTGGAGTGGGATATTAGTTTTTATATTAAATAGTTAGGTTATTTAGGGAACGTCCTTCAATTGACTAAACTACTGTACAGATAGTATTTAATAAGAAATAATAGTAGAGTGTGTTTTTAACGAAATATTTACCAACTTATTATACATACAATTTGACAGCTACACAATAATATTTTTTATTGCAGTGTGACTAAGGCGGTGATTCAAAAACACAATTACTTGTCTCCATGTTAACTTTAAAATATTTAAGTAAATTAGGCACTGTTTGTGAACTTGAACATTTATTACATTGTCCCTCAAGTTAATTTTTTTTTTTTTAGGTATTGCCACCTTTGTTGCACTCTGTATGCATTACTTCGTTCCACTAAGGTAAAACCATTTCAAATAGCTAGTAAAATGCAAAACCGTGTGAATACAGTGAATCATGAAAACTACATCAAACTAACCGGAACACCTGGCGATTAAAATTATCGATAAGATAAAAAGCCAAAGAGGAAAAATCTTATGTTTGTAGTTTTCATTACACCCCAAGGCCCAAGCGACCAAGCAACAAAGTATTTATCAGTTAAAAATTAAAACGTTCCCTCAACACACAGACTCATAACAATTGAACTTTTCCACATTTTTTTACTCCATTATAATTGTACCATGATTTGCATCAGTTTGTACCAATGTTGAAATTCATTTCAAAAACCGAATTATACCTATACCTACATGGATTCATATTCATGTATATTCAATAAAGTGAGATCAATCAATTAATAAAGTAAAAAAAAAAATGAAACATAATATACGAATTAACATTAAAATAACATCTTTTAACATTCATCAATAATAATATTGTGTCAATTGTATATTGTCTAGTCTATATTCACTTACAAGACCCAAGATGCAAGAGTCTATATATTCGAGTATATTTATTGATATATTTTTTTTCATTTTAACGTAGTATCTAGTCAGATTTTAGTGTACCTACAGCCTATAGAGTATAGATACATATCTATTTTATCTGAAATTTATGTTGAAGGTTGATATTTTGTTTCCCTATGTTATTATTTTTCAGTCGAGAGACTTGAATTAATAATAGACGTCTAGATTTGTCAGTGCCTATACCTATGGCCAAACGAAGCGAAGAATGTAATTATTCAACATTCTACAAATTACCTATCATCTGCAATTATACGCCTACCTCCGTTTTCACAATATTTTGCTTTACGTTATTAAATCACAGGTTTTCTTTTTACTATTCATTAACCTATTATACATGCCCACCTATAAGTAACTATTTATATAAAACACGAAATTAACCAAGTAATAACGTCAGCGAATCCGACCGTTAATGCGGAAAAACATATTTCCGGGAAAGAATTCTTTCGTGTGGCCTGGAAATATATATACACTATTGTGTATGGCTCGATTACTACAGCGATGAATAGCATACTATTGAGGAATAAAATTACTACGAAAATTACGAGAAATCAAAATTGGCAATATTGCACACGGCATAAATAAAAAATGAAAAGTATGGGTAGATACCTAGTCGACTAGTCTAGTACTTATAGTTATAGTAAAGGTTTCGAATTTAGGAACCGATGTTATATGTATGCCACAATACGATCATTGAGTTAAAGGGCCCGGATTGAACTCAGATTTATTATTATATTTCAAATAATGGTGCCTATAATATAATTTGTGAAAAAAGCTTCAAACTGTATTATTTTTGAAAACATATAATGAGATTTGAAATTAAAATATTTAAAAATTGCGGCCTGTAGAATATTAATATCTCTACTATAATAAAAAAAAAATGTGTAATTTGGTTGATTCTACAGAACAGGATCATTATTTCCGTAAAGCTTATTTTTGTGGACAAAATTACATTGACACCGGGTGCCATTAATCACTGCGCAAAATGTGTTCAGTTTTCAGAATTTATTAAAACACACTTAAATCGATAAAAACATACGTACATCGGTACATGCATACGTCATATATATTATGTATTATATACATACATTTATAATTTATATTATAGAATAAGTGCTCCAGTGCGGTAAAATTAACTGATTTTTGTTAAAAAAATCACAAATTACATTTTCTATATTATTATTACGTATCTACTTAGTATAATAATTAACATATTATCGTAAATCGCAATATATTATTGTTATTGGTTTTTAACTTATAGGTAAGTCAATACCAACCCAGTGGCGCCAAACCTTTATTAAACCACTTGGGTAAACCCGGTTGGAACTTTGAAGGTACTACCTACCCACCCAAGTCAGATTAAGGGGTAGAGCAACCTCTTTTCAAAAGTTCTGGCGAACCCCACTTGGCACTTGCAATACGTGTTCGGCGTCACTGGTACCGCAAAAAGGTGTGAATAGGTTCGAGTGAAATAAATAATTTAAAATAATACGTGAATAGTAGGTAATAACAATTAATTTTAAACATTTAATTATGTAGATGTAGAAAATAATAATCAACGTAATGGCGAAAAGCTGTTGTTGTTGTTGTTGTTGTTATAATTCTAACAATCCAACTACAGTCAAAAGAGGAAAAACAGTTTCATTTCAACAATAACCAATTCCATCAACATTTTAACTTAAAATGTATCTAATAAATACAATAAATTGACAATTTTTATCAACAATAATTAAAAAAACTATTAAAAATCAAAACTTACGAAAAATATGCCTAAAAATAACTCAAAAGAGTCAACATATTGTGAACATAAAAAAACGTATAGGCGCATAGTGGTGTAAAGTTTAAAATATATACAGTTATAAGTTTTTTAGTTTTACGAAAAAAAAAGGCGCTGTAGAAAACTACTAAGAATTTTTTTACTTTTAACTCCCCAAAGTTTTCCTGCCATAAAAGATGCTGAAGTAGTTCTGAAAAATCAAAGCATTTTTACTGCCCCAAAAGGTTATGCAGACACTATAAATAAAAATAAAATAAACAATAAACACATAATTGCAAAATCAATTTATTCATCATTAAGCTCCAGTGGCGGCCAAATAATTTTTAAAATAGGGGCATATGATTGATTTTTTTACATGCGCTATTTAATTAATATAAACATAATGGTTATCATTGAAAAAAGGTCATGTGATATCTACTCCCTTCATCCCCCCAAGGTTGACCGCCACTGCTCGGCATAATATCATAACTTAAAAATAAAAAATAATTAATTTCCATATCAATAGACGCATATTTTTTTCTTAATCAAATATACTTTGAAATATAGACTCATCATCTAATCTGAATTATTTTTCGTATATTGCATGTAATCTATTAACTTTAACATATTTATTATACCTACTATTATATAGAGCCCTATTTAATGATAACATACCTCAGACTTATACTGTAAAGCAGAACGGTTTCCTGCTTTTTTAATAGTTAATGTCATATTAAAATAACATATTTTGTTAATTTTATTATCGAGGATTTACATAAATCTGGGCAGTGCAAAATAGGGTGGCAAATGGGGCAAGTGCCTTAGGGCTTAAAGCACCACAAATTGTATGGGCACCAAAGCACAGCAAGCTATTTATGAGGTTTGAATATGTAGAATATGTATGTTAATAGGGGCACCAATTTTAGCTATCACGGTACTGGTATAATAAATAATATAATATCCAAACCTAATAGTAATATGAAATATGCATTTTAAATCATTAATTAAAATCAAAACTTAAAATTGTCTCTCTTAATCTGAACACTAAGCTATTAATTTGTTACTCAGTCAATACAATTTATCATTTACTCCTCATGCATTGACAATTAATTACTGTATTTATGTTTAAACAAACACTAATTAAAATTAAAATGTTTATATAATATTATTTTTATTTTTTATTTTATTTGTATTAAACTCACACATATAATACTTGGATTTTTATATTTTAAATAAATATTTATCAAAGAAAGTATAAACCAAGTCAATAAATTCATTTTCTTATAAAATAAAGTTATATCTGAGTTATACATAACTGATTACTGTTTTAGAAAAAAAACTCAAGAAGTTTTTTTTCTTATACATGCCTAAGCTTAATATTTTGCCAAAAGACCCTGCTTCCACCCTAATATGGCCCAGCCTATAATCTACATTCTATACTCCATTTCTACAAGATAAGTTGATGGTCAAGTTTTTATTTTTAATATCATATATTGCATACTTTTGAAACAAATCGATTTAAATTAAATAAATTCAATATTTTTTCAAGATAAGCTAATTTTTTGTTCGCATACCCCAGGTCGTGGAACCACTATTGTGGATTATCATGTAAATATTTAAAAATAGTCTCACTACCCATTTAAAAAAAATCTGAAATAATTTATAAAAATTATCATTATTATATATATATATATATTATGGATGCATAATGAATTTAAGATTTAATACTTTTATTTTATTTATACGAGTTATAAAATTGAAATAAAAAAGTATTTATTGTTTTATTTATAGAACACAAGTTTTAAGTTAATATTTCTTTCACATTGTGATTATTTTCTTAATTTTTTTTTACAAAATTAGTAAGCCATTTAAGGTTATAAAAATTAAATGAACAAAAAATCATAATATAATTCAAAGCGTTTAATTTAAAATCTACAATTTTTGTTTTTGTTTTTATACATATTATAAATAATATCATTGCATGTACATGTATATTTTAGTAGTAGGCAATTAATGTGAATGGCATACATCATATTATTATGGTTTATAATAAGTATGATGTAAAAATAATTATGTTATGGGTTGAGTTGCTCTGTTGAAGCATCTGATTTTCTTCGAGACAAATTCCGTTGAAGAGAGATTGGAGTTAACCACTCCTTTGGTAGACAGCGTTGAAAAAAAGGAATGCACGAACTAACATATGCCAACCTGTTTATCCAACTTGGTATATCTTGTCCGCATAAAATCTAAAGTAAAAAGTTTATGAACAATATAATTGATTGTTGTATAAAAACAAAGTAAATTAAAAATATAACTATATTTTACCTTTGTTAATGATCCAGAAAAATGGTTACAGTTTTTATTCATTAAATGGTATCTATCGCCTCGAAAATCCTTACCAAGTTCAATCATTATTCTTTTAACATCGCTAACTGTAAAATCTGTACTACCAATGTATATTGATTCTCTAAAAATAAAACAAACATTGATATTTTAAAAGATTCAAAATAGAGTTAAATTATGAATTATCTAGAAAATTTAGGGTTTCCTTGAAAGTTTTGTGGATTAAAAAAAAAGTATAATAGCATCAACAATAAATAAACAGTAATATTAAAATAGGTATAAAGAAACTTTTATCTTAACCAAACAAATTTTATTCAAATATTTTTGAAATACTATTTAATAATTTATTGCTAAGGGGCCTGCACGTGACCTACTTTTTTGCTCATAAACATGGCTTAAGAGAACCCAACACCAGCATCAGCATGTGTCGTATCCATCTTACAAGTGTTTAACATAGCAAATTTAAGCGCAGTAAATCACATTTAATTCAGTTAGTTTGAAAATTAGAATGAATCGAGTATCGGCATATGATGAAACTTGATGACACTTGTTAGTTTTTAAGTAAGTTATGAGTATTTTTTTTATACATGCTAAAATATTATTAACACAAAATTTGCCAAAAAATTGGACACACTAGTAATACAGAACCTTTATGTTCTTACCATCAAGTTCCATAATAGGTTGATTCAATCTAATTTCTAACTAACGAAGCTTTTAGCTTTTGATCTGCTGAGCAAACATTTTCAATGTTACGCACTTGTAAGAAGGAGACAATACATGAAGGTGTGGCGTCCTCTTAAAGGAAAACTAATCATAATAATATAGTGATATATTTTTTTTGGGGGGGGGGGAAGGGGGAGAGAAACATTTTTCACTAGGCTCATCGGACTTGGATTTTTAAAATTCTATTTGCAAACCATAAAATGACCAATTTTTCCAAAATTTTATTTTTTTGATTAGGCTTGTTTTAAGCAACCAAATTACAAATCTAAGTCTAATGCGCCTTGAACAAAATTATCTTCTTTCTAACGAAAAAAATCAATAAAATCATACCACTCAAAAATGAGTGGGTTTTTTGTGTAAATCATATTTTTAGCAAAAAAATCAAACTTGAAATGTCCACAAGCATAGATAGCCCGGTACCAGCATGCAGTCACACTTACACTAATCATCATTGACGACTGACACAAGTGCCATGGACGGCAAGAATGACATTGCATATAGCCTAAATATTAACACTTCTTAAAGACACACGATCCGGTCCCTTATACATTTATACATTATCAGGAAGAATACCAACTAACTTATATTCTCAGATATAATCTAATATTAATTAAACATTTGTATTGTTATTATTTATAATTTATTAAAATAATAAATTTCATTGTATAAAAAACAAATAAAATAATTATAATAACTTGAATGGTTAATTAGGAATGCATTCAATTGTGATTTAAGTCAATGAATGCAACTTGAAACAAGGTATAAAGTATAAAATGTAAAATAAACATAAAATGTCTTGTAAAATTAATTTTTTAGTAAATAATAGTTTCTATGATCTAAGTATTTCATGAAACTACATGCTAGAATTGAAAAGTTAAAAATTTCATCAAATGATTAGTTTAAAAAAAAATAAAACCATATTATTAGAAATATTTAAACTCAAATATTATATTGTACTTTTCTATTCATTACATTTTGTTTGTTTATTTGATTTTCATGTTTAACAACAATTTTATAATTTTTTATTAGTTAATTTAGTATGTGTTATAGTTATTTACTGGATTTGGAATACGAGCTTAGCCTTAAATACAGTCACGGCTGGCCACAGACATTCTATTGGTAAACTAATAGCAATAATAGTCACTGGACTGCCTTTAATATGCATAACATGGGGTAAATCTTTATTTTTTTTATTTACCCAAACAATTAAACATTTAAAATTACTTAAAATATTATGATTAATATAAGAGTGGTTAAATAAATAACATAAATAAATCTTTTAATTAGAAATTACTAGTATAAAGCAAACAAAATAGGTTAATGTAACCATTACCATTCTACTAATATATGTAATATAGTACTTTTACATATTACCATATATTTATTTAAATAAAGTAGTTAAACTATTGCTTGGAATTGTAATTATTGACAGGTGTGCAATTATATGTAAATTTCCTAGAATACTTTTATAGAAAAAAAAAAATTAGAAGTTCAGTGAGTTAATATTATATTATTTTCTATGAAGTATCTATTACAAAAAATAATGGTTGTAGCGTTGCAGTAGACAATCAATAATAAATAACTGTTTATTCAAATGTGTACTGGAATTTTTTCACTCGGGACTGTATTTTTATTGATGTAAAACTTCTAATGAAGCAGGTGAGACCGGCTGGTGTGTAGCCACACACGTAAAAAATCTAAGGTGACTTTAAAATAAAGAATAATTTTTTTTTAAATGTGAACATTATACAATTTTGGTATTCACAGTTCCTATTCTAAATCCAATAATTTCATATTATAAAAAAAGAACTTGTAGTTTGCTGAAATATGTTTACTTCAATAATCAATACTTCACAAAATATTATTTGTGAGGTACTTTATTGTACTTATTACAGCCTATATAGGTATTTTAAAATAAGCTGAATTATGTTAATATCATGATTTTTGTGGCAAGTTCTTTTATGAACGTGAAATTAATGGTTTTGCCTAATTTAGATAAAAACACAAAAATGCTACAATATTTTGATAATATTAGGTATAGTAAGGGCACTAACCAACTAGCGCTGCTAGTTTGTCATTAGGTACAGGGATAAATAACATATATTTGTATACTATTCTATAAGTTAGTAAAAAATGTTAACTATTGATTACCTACTACTTACACAGATAAATTCAAAAAAATTGTTTACCTATATCTATAATGGTCTCCTAATTCATAAACATCTTTTGGAATCATATCGAAAATTCCAGAATCTGATCTATCATGACCTCCATAACCATATTCTGTAATATAAGTTCCAAATTAAAATTTAAAACGTAAGATAAGACTAATATATTCACCTTGTCCATACACTTCAATTCCAGAATGGAATACACCGAGACCCATATGTGTGGTGTATTCATTGATCCAATACTTAATAACAAAATAAGAAATAATTAATAAATTACAAAAACAAAATATTTGTTAATTTTATTAAAAATAACTGAAAAAATGTAAAAATCTTTAGGCTTTTTAATAATTTATGTATTAAACACTAGGTACTTATAAAAGTATTAACATTATAAATTAAAATACCTAGGTAAACATCAAAAGCCTTTAACTATTAATGGATACAATTATTCAAAACATTGCATCATAATTGAATTGAAACAATTCATTTAAAGCAACCCATTAAACAATCAGTTACCTACTTAAAGGTACATTAATTATTTTAGAAGAATTTAATTGTATTGGAACTTAGCAAGAATACTAATATTAGTGATTAATAGTAAGTAGGTATATTAATTAAATAAACTTACATTTATTTTAAAAAGGTTGTTATCATTCAGTTATGGTAAACCAATGTTCTAAATATTCATTATCTTCAAAATAAGATAATAATAAAGTATAATAAATATTATTATTATTTATTTATTCAATATTTAAAATATTAAAAAGAATAAATTTATAAGTGTGGTACATTTGAAGCATAAATACAAAAATGAAAAGTGATAATGAGCTAATACAAATATAATTTTGGTACTTATGAAAAGGTTACTAAAAATAACAATACTAATTATACCAAAGAATTAAGGTAGGTAATAAAAATAATTTATATAATCCTACAATATTTTAATCAATGGCTATTAAGGTCAAGACCTAACTATCGATAAAAGTGAAATAATTATTAAGTAATTTTGGTTATTTGGATCCCAAAATTGTACTAGTTAACCAGCTGCCTGCCTACATAATGTATATGAAAATCATATGTTAATTGATTTACATTAATATTGGTATCTAAACAGATACATTCAAAATGTTTACAATAAACATTACTTATCTAATCGCATTACACACAAAAAATGGAAATAGTTGGATTAGAGTTAAAAGATCAACTAAGATATTTACTATTTAAGCATGGACAGGAATCGTGCCGTTGGGTTCATTTGATATTACAACATATTGGGCATACACGGGCGTGGTAGTCATGGGTAATAATATAAACACTTACCATATCATAGACGTGCACTAATACCGGTTCTCGAGCCATGTTGGTCAAAAGGCGGTCCAGCTTCCATACAGTGAGTGCACAAACGTATACGTTTGACTGGAAAAAAAAATAATAGTTAGAGCACCGATGAAGACTTTAAACAATAGACAGGGACGAGACGAAAGACTGTACACACAAGCGTATTGTCGTTAACGTCTCATGGGTCCGATGACCATTAACCATCACAGCAGCAGCTGGAGGCACGTTAAAAGGTAGGCAGTAGATATTATATTTATTATTGAGTTATTATCGGATACGTACCCAGAAAACGTAGAGTATAAAGAATAAAAACTGAGAAAATGGAAGTTTTTCGTGCTTATTTTCGGACTCCAAGCTCGTCGGCGTCCATCGGGTCGGCGGTTAACAGCGACCGACGACGACGGCCGTCGAGATTTTCATCATTTTATCAGAACGGTATTATCACTAAACTGCAAACGCGATCGTGCTCGTACGGTCGTCCGCCGAATGCGCCGAATGCGGGTAATCAGAATGACGGAAACAGAATGACGGAACGTCGGGCGGCACAACGAAGTGCGAGTGTGAGAGTGTGTGCGCGCGCACCCGCGCTGTGTGCGTGTGTGTGCGACCGCGGTTGACACCTACAAACGAGGCCAACGGAATCGATTTTTGCTCGCTGTCATCGATACCAGCGAGACGGACGACGACCGCAGTCGGCTTGTCGCCGCAATCAGCCGAGAGAGACTTTTATTGTACAATATTATATTAAGTTATACAAATGAGGCATAGTGCTAACGGCTTCCGATCTTCGACACCGACACGCAATAATATTATGTACTTATTAATTAGGTATTACGAAAATGGTACCTAGGTAAATATTATTATTCTAATGTTATCGCTCATCGCGTCGAATTAAGTCAACTGACCGCTGCAAGAGCGTAGTGAGCTCGTTCAAAAATACGCCTATTATACGAGCGATTACGGACTGTTACTATCGTAATAAATTAATAACTATACCTTTACTACAACCGTTTTTTTAATAACTAACGATTATTGAAAATAACGAATAAATTATATTTTGTGGTCGTTATTCAGGTGATGTGCTGTCTCTGGCCTCTGCTCAGTCTATCGCAAGCTCAACGTCTAGCGATATTTCACTGACTATAGTCCTACAGGTGTTCTAAAAATTGATAATTCAAAATGTGTAATTACCTACAGATCGATATAGTTAAACTCGATGAGGACTTTAATTTGAGACTGACTGTCCCACTTTTTTATTTTGGTTACCAAAACATCTAATGTATTTATCAATTTTATCAAGTTTTATATGTTTATATCACTATTTAGTCTACTTGATGCCAACTCGATAGGGCTCGTCGAATTGGAAAACAGTCCAAAAATAGCTCTGAAGTATAAACCCATAGCCGGATTAATTAAATGATTCAATGACGTTCAGTCATCGGCATTTCATTTGTATGATTTATTAAGAGTTTTAGTGTGATTACTGTGATTAATGCATATTAATTAAATATTAAAAAATTCTAGTTTAGGCCCAGGGTGTAACCATTTCCCCCTTATAACACCTCTGAATTATCTTAGATATAATAATAAGTGAGATAAAATCAAAAATACCGGAAAGTCTATCTACTTTCAAGGCTTCAAGCGGTTTATACGACGAATCCAAATCTGTTTTCAGAATCTTTATCGCATCATTGAATCGACCATTCCGATTAAAAATAAAACCTGAATAATATTTCGTGAAGACCACGTCATGCAATACTGTAAAATGTAATAGACAGCAATCAACCAATCCTCTCGAGTTAGCATCCATCATAAATACTTAGAATTTATTGAATTTATAATTAAATATCAATCTTAAACGTTAGTAAATGGTATATTATTTTGTAGTGTTTTAGTACTTTTAATTGTTACTTGGAAATAGTAATTAATTATTAATGATAACTAATGTATTGTTCTATTTCATCTATAATAAGCCAAATCGTGGACATAGGCACATAGCTGACAACCTATCAATTTAAAATTTTAAACTAAACGAAAAAAGAAACATGCAAAATACTTATGTTTCTATCGCCTATTCTATAATTTTCGTCCGGCGGCCGGTGCCATGATTATGATTTATGACGTGGTTGGAAGGTTCCAATAATAATATCAATATTTTATTATTATTATTATCATGACATTTGACGTCTGTGCCACCGGAACATCGGTTAAAAGCGGATTCATAAACAATTTAATAATAATAATTTATCCACAAGGCCATAAAATATACACAATTCAGTATTCACTAATAATATACGATGCACACGTGCACTGTATAAAATTATAGTAAATGCAACTAGGAAATTAAACACTAATATATTTGTATACGTACATGTTTGTGCGCTTGGCCTGTTGTTGTTATTTCCGGTCTGTCCGTGTGCCCGACTTCTGGCAGATGTAATGGCCACTGTTTCCTCCTCAGTCGCCGCTTCGCCTCTACGGTGACTATTGAAGTACTGACTGATGAGTGTCGACTGTCGAGTGATGACTGCGGGCTGGCCGTCTGTACGGACTACGGTTGTAACTCGGGACATAATCGGCCGGACGCAGTCACTGAACTTTTTTTCTAAATGATGGAAATAAATAGTTATTTATATTTTGCTGTTCTATTACGAATAATTGTTGCTACATTAATATTTATTATTACCATTATTACTAGTGTTATAGGGTATAACCGTATAAGGTAGGTATAATATAACTTATCATTAATTTATTATTAGTGACGAGGGACGACACACATCGGGTATAGGCACAGACTAGTGACCGATGACCAGTGACTTCTGGACTATGGTGGACTGGTCTGCTGAAGAGTGAAGACTCCATGCCACTCAATCACGCAATAATATAACCCTTTGGTTTCGTGTGATAATGATTACTAATAAATTACATATAAAAAGATGGGTGTAAACTTGTAAATATAAAAATAAATACCAAATTCTACATATATAGGTAGTGTCATTGTCAATGTCTTATTTAAATTTTTTTAATCCTCGTCTGTGTTAAATGTACAATAAAATATATTTTTAAAACAGGAGAACTAGCTCTGTTATCTATATAGAAGGTTTTGACTGTTTTGAGTGTACCTCACACTTCGTCATTTATACATGAAGTAGGTTACTGTAATGTAGTATTAAAATCACTCAAATACGGAGGAAGGAGGTACCTATATCCTCCCACCCATGAGTTTTTTTATAACTGATACACACCGCAATACTGCATTAGCGTATTAAAACATAATACAATAATAGTTACTAGTTTACCTACTACTTTAATATTATAATTTATTGAAATTAATTTCTAAAAAAAAAAAATTTCTATTTCGACTACTGCCTATAGCAGTACCTATAGCCTATAAGGTTCTGGGTTCTGAATTTGACATATATTTCAACTGTGAAAAATGTTTTTATTTATTGTTTTAAAGTTTGTTTATTACAATACGTAAACAAACTTTTAAAACTGTTCTCTGCTTATAACTTTTAGATAAGTATAATAATAAACATTAATTTTTATTCTCCCACTAAATTTTAAAACCCTAATTCCTGTTATTAGGTTAGCAATAAGTAATGACTAATGACTAATAAGTAATAACCTTGACAACATAATATAGTAATATTAATTCATAATTGAGACTATATTTTATTAAAGCATAAAGCTAGGTACATATTAGTAGGCACATCGCGTATAGTATTTTAAATAAAATTTTCATGTTTAACTCATATCGAGTCACATGTAATTTATAAAGTTAAAAATAATATTAAATGTATGGGCATAAATCATAATGTTGGTATACTTAGGTATACCCACCTAATGCTACCTATATAGAATAAAGTAATATAGATTAAGATTAAAATAAACTACAGAACCTACTACAACTACACTGTCTACACTTTAGATCATGACTGTGGCAACTAGTCGTGGTCGATATCATTGTACCATTTAAATATATAATGTTTAGTATATGAGTGCTCAATTGCACAAGTGCATCACAAGTACCTACACATCACACATGCGCGTTCAATTTACAAGTTGTATATTTGTATTGAGATTTGAGAGATGCTTGAAAAACTTACAAAACATTTTTCATGTTAACATTCATTGAAATCAATTTAATCCCTCCCTTACACAGCAAACATAATTAAATTATGCCACTGTTGTAAAATTTAATATATATTATATTGCATTTGAAAGAAATGATTATTGATAAATAATCAGGGTTCTCCATAGAGAGGCATGCCCCCCTCCCTATCCATGGTATTTTGTAATTTTTACGGATGATTCAGTAATTTTTTTAACTTAGCATCAATAGGACAATATTTATAAAATAATAATTATTTATAAAATATAGATGCTATTGGAAAATAAAACCTCTACTGACTATTTTCTTTAGGTTTTAGTTAACAATATTGGGTAGGTATAATTATTATTAATAATTAATATTAAGAGGATATGTCAGCGCAATAGTATTGTCTCCTCTCTCAAACCCACGACAATAGACAAATATACATGTATTAGATGAAAAAACAATAAATCGTCAGTAATTTTTTGAAATCGTAAAAAAATGTTGATGAAACAAACAACAACTTCTAAACGTAAACGTCGTCATGTTATATTGTACTACACGTCACTGAGCAACCACGGAGCAGGAAAGGTCACCGTATACGAACCGTGGTTTGTACCAAAGGTAATGTAGTAACTAGGTAGTACCTAAGTATAGACATCCACATTATTGACAGTAATAGGACAACAGAACGTGTATGATAATATGAAGAAAAATAAATATCATCAAATCTAAAATATATTTCTTCCAGTGGTGTATCAAATATGATAGTTAAATATGAATAATTATAAATATCACATGAAATTATAGAACTATTCTTACATTCCTAGCTAAAAAGCTAATAAAGATAAATGATAATCTGTTCGAAAAAATAACAGGAGTCAACAATAATGCAACATAAGCTTTGCTTATGAAAAGTAAAAATCGATTTATTTTTATAACACTGTACAAGAAAATAATATCAACCTTTTATGAATAAGACACGAAAAGCGTATAATATTCAAATAGGATTAAGGAGACACAATTAATGTAATTAAACCAGTTATGTATTAAACTTTACAACAACTTTTGTTTTAAAATGTAAATAGTTATGACTAATGAAACATATTGAAATATGTGCTTGATAGTAATGGGGGTTAAATGAAGGCATGAGCTGATCTTTCTCGGTCACGGGGGTCTTTACCTCGTCCCTTCTATTCATCGTATGTTAACCATGACCTCTGTTTAGCCGTGGTCATGTATTACCTATACGGCTATACATAATATTATACATTTACACACAAGCAATACAATTTAAATTATATTAGATTATAACATAACATTATAATATGATGATGTTTGGGCTTTCTCGTCATCGTATATTAAATGTAAAAAAGATTGAAAAAAACAACTTGTTTTATTTTAACTACTTGTATTTGTACAAAGTTAAATTGTATGAAATGTTTTATATATTTAAAAAAAAAAGCCAACAAAAAGTATGAAAAGGGTACTGCAGAAGAATACAAATCGGAATACTCAAAAACCTCGTCAAAATATCAATAATAATATAATTTGTTTAGAAAAATAAACGCGCCTGAACTCCTAGTGAATGCTGCTGTCTAAAAACTGCAGACTAAAATAAAAAAGACGGATGTACCTACTATAGCTGGCTAGTAATAAACAAAGTCGTATCCGTCGTCTGGGCGATTTTCAAACTTCGATGACTTTAAAAATAAATAATTTCCGTGTCGAAATATTACGTGAATTTAGTTCGCTGGTAATTATTTTGAGTTCAACAAGATTACATCATATTATACGCAACTACACACATTACACATGACGAATTATATTATCAAAGTATCCGAAAACAGTAATTGAAACAACGGTGGAGATATGATATTGTCGCTCAATGCTGATCGCGGAGATTATGAATTGCAAAAACAACCACTATGGTGATTGAGGTCCTGGTATACGCGATCGACAGTATACCGTCTGAGTAAATTGGTTTCTGACGGCGAACCGGTCACAGTGCCGCAAGAAGATGTCGAGTACGATGAACTCGCCGAGGAGAAGCCAGCTCGTTTATTGGCCAGTGGTCAGTTTTCGGGTGGCGATTCGCCGCCTGTAAGCGACTTGGTGCTCCAGCAGAAAGATGACATGAACGTCGTATGCGTCGATGAGCCCTTTTACGTGGCGACTTGACTTACCTTCTCCGAAATCTGAGTACATCGATTCGCCTCGGATTCCAGAAGACTGTACCTTCAGGTCGGAATAATTGCCCATGCCGGATAACGTACCCGGGTGACATACCGCCAATCACCTTCCGTGCTCTTTCTCGTATCCTCTCTTCCTTTGAGTCACGCCATCGCCGTCCTACTACATCGACGTATTCGGTCCAAATAAGAGTGTCAAAATATTGCAAGCTGTGGACGGTTTCTCTTCGGAAACGACACTATAGTAGCAGAAAATGCGTTTCACGCGTTTCCACCCCGTGGAAAATTTGTTCCTAAGGGGTTAGATTTCGTAGCACTAAATCTCGCTTTACTCGTTCCGTATCTACTGCGGTCTCCGCCGTCTATCGTCACTGTCAACCGTGAACCATCGCTCCGTCTCGGCACAAAGTGACTAATTTTAATACGTTATGCGTACAAGATCTTCAAGGCGAATAACGGAAAAGAAGAAAAATACGTCGAACAGGAGACACAAAAAACAAGAAGAGAAGGATACGAGATGGCGAGTGTGTGCGGATATGCAAGTTACGCCACTGGTCATCCCTGCAACGTTCTCACAACCGGTCCCGTGGCAGTGACACACTCCACCTAAAATGTTAATAATAGCAACTTTGATCCACTTTTTTTGGTAACAACATTTAGTTTTTTTTCAAAATGATATGTTCACCTTTTTGTATTTGAACTATGTATTTATAAAATATTATATGACTAAGCCACTGCTCTGTGGGACGTTCATTTTGTTAAATTAATAAAAATACATTTTAAATACACACAACATTTTTATTATTTTTATTTTTCGTATTTTCTAGTGTAAAAATCATACGTTACAGATTTAGCGACTAAAAATATATATATTTTCAAAAAAAAAATGTGCTGGTCGTTTAAAGATAGTAATATTCAATACAATAACCATCAAGCATCGATAAGTATAAAACGTATAACAATAACTGTTCGAGTATTATATTATATTATTCCAAGAAATATTTAAAAATCAAACACTGGACGCGATAAAAACTGTGAAATAAATCATGAATAAATAATAAATCGCAAGTATTAAAATGTATAATAATATATATTATATAAACCACATAAAATAGGTATTTCCATTAATTATTTCGGTATATTCTATAAAATTGTATAAATCATAAAAAATCAATGATTATTGCTGATGACGTATTATTTTGTCGCAATTTAATATAGTTATAAATTTTAATTACATAGTGGCATATAATAGGTATTATCTATAAATATTAAATGCTATAGACTAGTACATTAATGCTTGATAATATACAAACTTACATTTGATTAAGTCAAATACACCTCTTATACTATTTCATAATAATAAACCTATAGTGTAATGTAATGTGGAGACACGTACGTGTATAAAGTATAAAATTTTAATGTAATGTAATACCTACCCGCATTTCACTAGTTGCTACATATTATATTATAGTGGTGATAAGTCCAGAATATTATTGGAACCCACATAATTTTCGATATGTTTTGTCCTGAACTAATGAAATGAATTAAAGCTTACAAGTTACACATTTTGTTTCAGACAATTTGTTATATGTTATAAAGTCGAGTATTCCAATTGTTAACACAACCAATGAAGAAAAGGATATCGGACAAAGCAGTATTTAGAACTTTATACACATTATAGTACCTACATAATATTCCTTGTATTATACTTACATAAAAAATGAAATAAAAAAGTTCCAAGAGTATATTTTTTCCTTATGCGGACCATCAATTAAAGACTATAAATATAATGTAGGTATGGCATAATGAAATATTGCAGTCACCATCATTTTAGATTCAAAAGGGGTATCAAAAATAAAAAATTTCCTATAGTTTGCAGGAAAAGCGAAAAATCTCAGATTTTGTCTTTTATATTTAGAGTAACTGTAAAAAAGATAACTGTATATATATATAGATCCTAAAATGTTATGATGAATAGAAATTGTTAAGATAAATATTCAGTGAAAATCGTAACTGTATAGGTATATAGATACGATTTTAACTGAATATTTATCTTAACAATTTCTATTCATCATAACACTTTAGAAATATTGTGACTCTTTTTGAGCTATTTATAGGCATAAGAAAATTTCGAGTTGTATTTGTTTTATTTTAATTAATAAGTGCATCATATTTGTACTTTTTTAGGAGCATAAATGCATGCATATCTATCTAGTAGTTTATAAGTGCTTTAAGTTCAGAGCCCTAGTTATAACTACTTATGATTAAAGGCACTACTTACAACCATCTCTGTATTATGATTTATGTGGATAGGGATAGTTAACACATTACCGTGTATCACAATATAAAAAATAGCTAAAAAAATTCAACCATTTCTGCACCGCGGGTTAGGTAGCTTATATAAATGTGGTTATTAATGACTAATGAAATCATACTTAAACAATATTTTTGGATTTAGTGGGTACCGAAAATATTCTGTACACGATCATAGAGGCAATGTTTTATCCTTTAAATGATGTGTGTTACTATTATTATGAATAATTACTTTTGAAGTCAAATCCGAACCAAACTTTTTTAATTTTAAAAATCTGAAGTAAACAAAATTCTTCAAATCGTATTTGGAAATCACGCCGAACTTTCAAAACATTTCATAGTGTATAAATTAATTTCAAAATAAATATTGCATACCACTAGGTACCTATTATTCAAAAATCTGATAAAATAATAAAAATTAAAAATAAATTATTTTTCTTCTTTAACAAACTGAGATCAAATTTTTATTATATCAGTTCAATTTTTGAAGTCAGCTATTATTAGTTAATTTTGTTCAAATATTTGAAATTTTCAGCTTGATTTTTGGACACTCCAATTTGCTTTAGTTTGGTTTCGGAGTGATAACTCAAACAATTTTAAGTGGTAGGCACCTATTTATACTGGTATCAATTAGATATTGTATTTAATTAAATAAAAATAATTCCCATCTTGCGGGGCATAGTTAAATATTTCTTACTACCGTCTGCCGGCGTTAGCTGAATAATGCGATCTTGTAACTATTTGTTTCATGTCAGTATTTATAAATATCTATATTATTCATAAAATTAATTAATTGCAGATATTAAATGAAAAATATAGTTTGAACATTTTTTCAATATAGTTTTATAATTACATCACAACGAACAAAGGCACTGATTACTACTGATTACTGAACACTGATCGTGGCATCACTTGTAATTTATATGTTACTTTGAACTTTCAAAGTATATTTCGAGTGAATTCAATTCAATTTTTGAATAGTTAAAAACTTATTTTTCTGAAAATCTTATTAAAATAACTCGGAACTTCTTAAATAATCGCTGGAGTAAAATACTCACCAGTCAATACATAATATTATGAATATGTAGTTAAGTAGATTGACTTTTTAATATAACCATATATTTAATTGCAATTTACAAAATCACTGGTAGGGAGCCACCTTTATTTTCATGATCAAATCATCATTGTCAAGTTTGGAAAACACGTACACAATGTACCTACCTACATAAGACACGTGCCGATAATTGTATATAGATGCTTTTGTTGTTATCAATGTGCTATAGGTACACATTAATTCTTACCGATATTCGGCAAAGGTGTTACGATGGCAACCGCGCTTTTGACCAAACATACATTTGGACATTTGGTTGTTTTACGTACCTAGTTGTTATTTGTATTTCTTAAGTTGCTGTATACATACGTAGTTAAATTAGCTGTGACATGAGTTACACAAAATTTATATATATATATATTTTATTTCCTTTGAGGAAAACGTGCATACAAATCATACGATTTATCAAATAACTGAATAGGTAATTATATCTTTTTTGTTTTACCTTCCTAGTTTCCGATATATTATGTCAACAATTCAACATATATTTGGTAAAATATTTTCTTATTTTGTTTTAACCGCACAATCCATACATTAATGGTACAATAAGCATGAGCACTAATAGCATAGTAAAAAGTCATATTCATTTGTTGAAGAAATCATCCAGGTACTTTGGTGGTAAAAAATAAAAAACAGAAAACATGTCATCGAAGAAGAAAACCAATACATTGTCAAAAGTTAATAACGAACATTCAACGGAACAAGTCACTTCTATTGACTTAAACAATTTTGATAATGGTTAGACTTATATTTTATTATTATATGAAACTATAATATAGGTATGTTGTGTTTTAATAAAATAATTTTCTAAGTTTTAAATTTTTATAATCGTCAGAGCCAGCAGAAATCGTAAAAGATGATTTAAAAATCGTGTTCATACCTAAAACTTTACACGAACATTTTGAATGTGTCGTAGGAAAACACGTTTTTATAGATAAACCATGGACAAAAATAAATCGTAAAAAAATTATTGATAATTTGCAGTCACAAAATACGTACTCATGCTTTTGGTCATTTCATAAAGAAATTGAAGTAAAAACAAATTATTACATTTGCACACAACAAAAAATTTTGTTTTTACTAATATGCAATTGTTTTTTTTTCTTAGAGTATTACAAATGACCATATTTTAGTTGGGTATAAGCCCTTTGGTAGTACAGATGAAGAATTTTTAATATGTACCACGGATAGAGCCAAAAATTATATCGAAAAAACACAAATGCAAAATATAGGAGGCGAGTTTAAAAAAAAATCTGAGAGGTCAATATGTCGTGTACCAGGACCTTGGGAATCCAAAAGCAGTGACAAAGATATTGAAGAAATAAAACCGGTCCAAACACGTGAAAAGGTGTATTTATTTTGAATAATATTAACTAAATCAGTTTTGTTAACTAAATTGTGCGATAAAACTATGCATGTTAACTTATTTTTTATATCTGAGTGTAGGTGGCCAGGATAAGTAGGAATCTAATAAATAATATTATAATATAACCTATACAAATAGTATTAACATATTGTAAATAATGCAATAATGCTATTTACTTACCTAATTAACTTAGTAATTTTTATTTTACATGATTTTAATATTTATTATATGCACATACATTTGTATATATTTAGGTATAATATACAAGTAGGTAATACGTACCTATTAATAACTAATGACAAATAATTAAATAATAAACAAATGATAAATTAACAGATAACATACAAATGGAAACTTCCGGCTGGTAGACTTCAAGCTGAAGCAGAATTTGAGGACTCGCATTCAAAATCCATAAAAAATGAATATGTGAAATTAGAACCACGACCATAAGAAATCTTCAAAAGTAGTGATGCTTTAACAATAGAATCAAGTGTTCAAGTAGGTAGTTTGTATATAAATTTCATTAAATTATAAAACTCGAAATTAATCATTACTTACTTATTGTGTAGGCTGTCAGGAAAATGATCAACACAGAAATGCAGACAATTCCTAGAATTAAATATAATAAATGTATTCAGTCAGTAGCTGTGGAAGAGGAAATGTTTCAATTACAACCTCTAATCACACCAGAAAAAGCTCTTGACGATTTTTTAAACAAACATGTTCCTAAGTAAATATTTTAATCTCTATTACAATAGAATTTAACAAATTATGAATTAAATAATGTTTAATGTTTTTTTATACTTATTGTCATTACCTACAAAACGAAATTTTGAACAAATAAATAGTTAATTTCCTACTCATTAAATGATTGTACAGTTCTGTAGTACCACGGACGTTTTAATATATATTTTATACACAGGTTTTCAAATAATTGTGTGTGATAAAAATTGTGAGGATCGCGTAAGAACCAACGTTTAATTTATTATACATAATATTATATCTTCATCATTCTTGTTACATGATATTTGAAAGCCGATGTGGCACTTGTATAACACATACAATTACTAAACCTAGAAAAACGAATATTTTTTTAATTACAAGTTATAGTCTTATAGGCATTGAGCTTTGCAAAATTATAATACATGAATTATAATATATTGTTTTAAATCAAAGCTTAGTGAATCAGTTGCACTACAATGAGTTATATGATTTATACCGTGATGACTATAAATTGTTGAAAAATGAAAATGAAGATGAAGTCGAACAAACCTCTAAAGTTATAAAACTTCTACCTAGATATCAAAATGAGGTATCAAAAAAAAAATACGTATCTTGTCATGCTTGGCATCCTACTATAACCGGTAACATAATCATAAATTAAGGAGATTTCATAGATAGAATAAGTTAGTAATATGTTACTTTTTTAGGTGTTTTTGCTGTATCTTACAAGATAAATAGTAATGAGTTATATAAAACTGTAGGTCTAGAAACATCTGATGAAGAAATTACATCAGTTAAAGACGAAAAATATGGTGTATCCTACAGCGATGAAGATATCGATATAGACTCTTCGAGTAACCGGCTTTTAGATGAGAATTACAAAGAAAAAATCATTTCTTTATTAAACAAAGAATTTGTGCAGGTAAATTAATATGTACTTAATTAAAATAAATACAATATTAAAATTTGAGTATGTTAATTTGAAGAGAATGAGGATAATCCAAGTAACAGAAGACGAAAAAATTAACCAACAATATAGCCATGACATTAATAGACAATTGCGAAACTCTTTAATTTATGTTTCTCACGAACAAACTTCCACATACAACGATCATCCACTTGTAAATTCAGGTATGTAATTGCACCTTAAACGTAAAAAATTCAACAATTATCAACGATATGATAAAAATAAATAATTTTTTTATTTTCATAATTAGATAACAGAGCTTTGGTTGACCAGAACATAATTATCAAAGAAGCTCAAAGTAAACTAACAAGTATTGATGTCCTGCCAAGTATAGATCAACAGTATCAGTTCAATTTAAACAATGAGTTTTCCATAGATGAAAATGAATATGAAGAACAAAATAAAGAAATCTACGACACGAAAGTATCGGCGAATATTATGAGTACTACAGACAAGATTAAAAGTGAAAACGATATGGACGTGGTAGAACATCACGATTCTGACACAGAAAGCTTTTACAATATTTGGGGCGATGATGAAGAATGGTTACATGATAACAAACTAAGGAATGTTGTTAGAAATATTCACAGGTAAAAGACAAGTTTACACTTCCTTCAAGTTTTAAATTAATGTAATAATTATTAATTTTTTTTAACAGGACATTTAATAAAAAGTATGATCGAGAAGCAAGAGAAGAAAAACTGTTCAGACTCTTGAAGTCTGAAGCCAAGTACACTGAAAAAAAAAAAAAGTAAATTATGTTTAAAATCATATATTTATAATTTATAATTAGGTTCTAATCATGATTGAGAAAAACTGTAATGTTTTTTTTTTTTTATTCAAAATATAGAATTGATGATATGGAAAAAGAGAGAATGAAATTAACCAAAGACATGTTTGAAGCTGGAGAAATGTACCAAAAATTAAAGTATCAATTAGAAAATAAAACTAAAAAGCGTAGAAAATCTTCGTCAAAACATAAATCACAGAAGAATGATGAAATACCAAAGATTAAACGTGAAAATACACCATTAATAGACGAACAAAATAACTCTGTCTTAATTTGGTCAGTTAGTGATAATATTTTTCCGAAGGTATTTAATATTCAGTAGTACTGTAGGTACCCATCAGTGTCAGACTGACACACCAACGGCTCATGGAACAGTTTTTTAAGGTTATGAACGGCCTTCTGCTTCGTAAAGAAAAATTTAGCTTAAAAATGATGTACAAATAAATGTTTCGATAAATACTTTGCGGAGTCCCTACTTACTATATAGACCATAAACAACCTGAAAAAATAAAAATTTACGAAACCAAAAAAAAAAGAAACGGAGGGACCTTTGCCGAGTTTTCGGCACAGCGGCCATGGACAGACTGACACTGGACTACCTATACTATATAGAATTTAATAATGAATTACATACATAAATACAAAAAAAATTTCTAGTTGAGGTTGGAGAGTACTGAAGAAGTGCGCTGTGTTGAATTTAATCCTAGACACGGTAACACTGTTGTAGGAGGGTTGACAAATGGGCAGATTAGCATATGGGACATTGAAGGAAAATTGGAGATGGCAGGTTTAAATGATTTGAACATGTCAGAAAAGGAAAAAAAACATCATGAACATCTGGTAAAAATTATAAATATATAGTTGTACGTAATTATCATACTTCAAGCTAACTGCTAATAGTTTAAAATATTTTTTTTACAGTGGGCGCACATGAATTGGTCTTTAGACGTTAAGTTTGAAACAATAATCAAACCAGCAGCTCTAAGTGCAATTTTAGAATCACATTTGTCAACGGTGACTGCAATCCAGTGGATTCATCCGATGAATGAAGTTAGTCCATTCATATAAGTATTATTATTTAGCAACCAGAATTGTTTTAAAAAGTCCACAAAATAACATCGAATTAAGCCTAGTTCGGTAGCAATTGTATTAAAAAGTTATTTTATATACTTAAACGTCAAAAAATCGCAGACATTTTTTCTCGTTGAATTCAAATAAAAAAAAATGTTAAGAGTCTAAGCACTGTCTAAAACTCTAAACACTTTAAACAGTCAAAATTAATTTGATATTTCTAAGAATAATTTCTGAAATTTTTGTTAACAGGTGTATACTAATATTTTTGAGTATATAAGCTTAAGACATATTATGTACATTGGTTTTTTATTTTACATTTAAATAGTAAAAAGTAAGTTAAAATATATTACTCAACTTTATTTAAAAAAAAATTACACACCAACGAATTCTATTTTCGTAAAAAACGAAAAACTTAAATATTTGAGTTTCATGATGCACACAAAACAAAACTTTTAACACTCCCCAAGTTTTGAGAAATATGTGTGTAAAATGTAGTACAATCTGTTAGTTAAGTCGAGTCAACTGATTTCTTCGTTTATGATTTAATCCTATAATTATTTTATTATTTTAATATAATGTTTTGGTACATTATTCAAAGTAATTACGTATAAAGTATTTATGTTACGTGTGAGTTTATTTTTTTGTTTTTCAGATAACACCATTGGGAAAATTTATCAGTGTTCAAGAAGGAGAATTTTCAGATCAATTTTTTTCTGCTTCTATGGATGGTACCATAAAACTTTGGGACTTGAATTCGACACCTATTCCAAGAATCAATAAAAAGAGTTCAACTAACACTAGTTTTGAGCACCCAGAAAAGTTGAAAAACTATAAATCGCCATTGAGCATTTACAACAACCGTCTAAAGCCTTCGTATACGGTTAGATCATTAATTGTAATTATAGGGCAGTGTATATAATAACTAATAAGTAAATACCATAAGTCTTGTCTCTTGATACTAATGGTTATACATTTTGAATTGAAGTTTTCATTGCATTTGTTGATAAATGATAATACTTACTTTGATAGTAATTGGACACGTGTGTGGGGTTATAACTATGAAAGACATTGATGTGCTTTAACTTATAAGCATTCTCTTGTCTTATATTGTTCTCTTCATTGGCCCATCAAGTTGGACATAACAGGAAATTACAAATAGTCGAACTGTATTAGTTAATAGGACGTGATATTCATAGATAATTAATTTCGGTAATAATTGTTTTCAATTGGATTTTGAATATTATATTATGAAAGAAAAAATATAGTTTATTTATATTTCAATCTACAAAAAATTTTTTTATATGGCTTTGAGTTGATATTTTATGTAAATCAAAGAGTGTGGGAGTGACGAGTGTTAATACGTCTTTCATATGTGTTATATTATATTTGAGGTTGACGTGCACACCACCAAGTACTGACAACAGCTGATTTGTTGAAAACAATAAATACAATATATTATCTTAACAACTTATACAGCAGGTATTATAAATGTAGAAAATAACTTTAATGGTCCATTTGGAAGATTCCTAAATTCCTCATACATTTTTTCTACCTATAGTAAAAAATGTTACCAAAAACTCACTTTAAATTTTTTATTAGTGTTTAAAGTTCAAATTTTGACAAAATTAGGTAAATAAGCGAAAATTTGTAAATTAAACCAAAAGAATCTAAAAAATCTAAAAAATATATAAACTCAGTTTTTTTAATGAAACAAAATAATATTCGTTATTAGTATTTAAATATATTTTTATGGGGATTTGAAACTTTTACATATATTATTATTTGTTATCTATGTACACAATAACATTTTCAAATCATCCAGGTTAATTTTATGCTATTACCTATTTATTTTATAGTTTATATCGTATTACTGTATAGTCTATAGTTAATAAAATAAATTACTATGATAATTATTAATTACCTAATAGTAATATATTTATATTATAATAGGCTGATTGACCGTCTTTGTACAGAATTGATCTATTGTTTTTTATATGACATGTAATGATTTATCATTAAATTCAAATATAACACATTCAGAGTGGTCTACTCAATGACGATGTACACTACAGTCCTTAGGTACAGCAGAGCGGTTAAATAATTTACTTTTTCAAATTTTTTTTTCTACTATCTGTTCATAAATATATTGAACAAAAAATGAAAAGTCATGATGCATTGATGTGTATAAAAAATATGTATAGATTAAGGTATATCCCCGTCAATCTCATTTATATTCACTAACATATTTATACTCTATACTCTATACTTCTATAGAACTTGAAAAAATAAGAATATCATCAAATCGATATTATAGGAAACAGATTATATTTATTTTGGTTTGATTACATAAACAATTGTAAAATTTGAACTTAAATACATTTTTAGGTAGGAAAAAGAATCTAGTTTATACGTTCAACCTATTTACCAAGTAAATTTCTTAATAATTGGCGAAACAAATAAAAAAAAAAATTATGGATAAAAATCAAATATTTAGGCGAAATAAATTTTTAACAAAATTTATATTATTAAGTAAAAGTCTTTTTGAAGTTTTTTTTTCTCTAAATGTCGATAAAAATCTATGTTCTGTCAAAAAACTAAAATAAAAACGTATTTAAGGTTCCTTAAGAGTTTTGAAGTTTAAAATCTCGAATAATTTTGCAGTTAGGTAGTTAGAATTCAACGATAATTTTACTAAAATAAAGAATCAATATTATTTAATATGATTTTTTTTTTTTGATATTAATTATTATAAATTAGTTACTGATGTGCTACTAGTCAAGTAACGTGTTGCATAGTTTTTAATATATATTTAAATTTTAATCTAATAATTAAGTAATGCTGTTTATACAACGATGGTTAGGTATTCAACGATATTTGGGTCTAATGTATGTACTTAAATAAATATTGTAGATCATCATCAAAGAACCAGAAAAGACAATACACAGCCCCATAACAACGTTATCTTTTGAGATACCTTTAATGCAATATAATTATATATCCGACCAACCACTAAGTATTGGAAAACGACAGTTTGAATATGGTAAACGTTGACACACATATTATAAATTAAAATATAGGTATGGCCCTTAAATGTTATGTCTTAATGTCTTATTACTGTAGTGCCGACAAAATCAAATGATCCAAACCGTATCTTGGTCGTTGGTAGTATTATGGGTCAAATCGGAGTTGTTACTTGGGATGGTTATGATGCAAACCAGCAGGGCCGAAACAGTGAAGGTGTGTAGCATATAATGTTTGATTACAACTTAAAAACTTAAGTTAAAAATGTACAGAGTGCAAAAATATTTGGTGGGGACAAGTGCACGATGGACCTATCAACCACATCAAGAGAAATGTTTTTTACCCAGATATTCATTTAGTTTGTGGTGGACACGTTGTATCTATTTGGAGTTTGAACTATAATGTAAGTAAATTTAGAAAAATGTTAATAGTATAACAATATTATAATACATGTAATGTAGTTAGCAGTACTGTACGCCTTTGTGTACACAATTGAAAATAGGTACTGTTAAATATGCAGATACGTATACATTAGGTAACAAATAAAAGTGTATTAATATTACAAATGCAATATTAACATTCTAAAGCAAGCTAAAATACTTTTTATTTAAGCGCTCATCTTTAAAGCTAGAAAATAATAATTTCATACCTATTTATTTACAAAGTTTTATTTTAGATTCTGAGCCGAGCGATAAATGTAGTTATTTTATAATGATATTGTGGGTTTTTTTTTGTCTTTCTGCAAACAATATTTCTAGTAGAAACAATGTTTGAGTTTCCAACTTCAGTAACTTTTCTGATGGAAGAACACATTTAGTTGGTACTTTGAAGAGGTAAAATTCGAAAATTCACAGTAGTTATCAAAAACGTTGTGAAAAACAAAAAAAAATTAAGTAAAACAGTTAATTTCTACGTTTTTACGCAAAACCAGTTTTCGGCAAAGCCGATTGAGTTCTTTTTTGCTGTAATAACTCACAAACGAATAACTGTAAATACTTTAAATTTAAATTTGATGTGCATATGTTTTAGGTATGCATAGTTATTTTCTATACACAATAACATTTTCAGAATATTTTGAATCATTTTTAACTATAGGAAGGCAAAAGAAAATTTCGATTTTTAAAAGTTTGTTTTTTAAAATTATTGTCGATAATAAATTTTAAGCTAACGAATTCATATCCAACGAATTTCTTACTTTGTTGAATTTCAAAAACGGATAGCGGCCTATACTTGAATTTTTCACCAAATGTTTGTTTTGTCGTTTTCTGCGAATTATGAAATTTTCAAAATATTTTATCTTGTTTTCAGCTATTTCTAGAAATTTTTCCACTTTCAATGTTTTTAGTTTTTCTACTATAAATATCAATACTTTGTTTTTCGTTGTGTCAAAAAGCTTGAACATTTGCATGTATGGAAGATTTCTTATAAGTTGTAATACAATATTAAAAATACTTTAAAGACACGATATTTTGTTTATAAGCATTAACAGTTTAATATTTAACTAAATCTAAAATCTAAATCTTGAAAATGTGCAAATTATTTTGTATATATTTACACATTTATAACATTTTCAGTTTTTATAGCTGAGAATTGAAAATTAAAAACAAGGTATCCCTTGTAGTAAATAAGACCCTAAGTAGGTCATACTTTTTTGTATTTTTTTGTATTGCTATTAAAAATTTTAATTTAGATTAAATTAGATATTTAAACAAAGAATAACGATCTCAGTTATTTTGTTATAATTTCAAAATATTATTATAATATAGTCCGTCTGTCTGTTTCCACTTAGAATCGTTTTCCTATACAATGATATTGAATAATATAGAGTTAAAATTCATAAAAGTATAAAAAACAATTCGTAATATTTTTTATTTATCAAAGAAAATATATAAATATACGTATACTAATATACATTATACAATAGTATTATGAACAAAACAAATATGTTATAAACATACAAATATACTCAACATTTAAAATACATTTTCATACATGAATTATTATTATAGTGAAAGATTGAGCAAAGTCCATTTGTTCAAATAACGTAGTATAAAAAATAATGTGAAAATTTATTTGACTTACAGTACTTGTTATAGATTTTATTATTAATTGCTCATAATAATTTGTTAAAAAAAAATTGAATTATAAAAATGAATTAAAACTACAAGTTTACTTTAGGGCGGACCAGTTTGGTGGAAGCGTTTTAATGATTTGACAAATAGCGTTTTATGGTCTACTACTCAACCTGCGGAATTTAGAGTGTCCTTCAACACAGATGGGGTCTTACAATTTTGGAATTTCATGAAATACACTCACCAGCCTTACTATACAACGGATATTTTCCTCAGTGACGGGCTAATAGCAAGTGAATATTTTAAAATCACGAATTCTATTATAAAAAAAATGATAAATAATAATATTTATAATAACTTAATATTGAATGTTGTTCTAAAATGTAATAAACTTGCAGCTTTATCAGCTCCGTATTCACCAATACATTTCATCGGTACCGAAAGGTTAATGTTTACTGAAGGTATACACGAAGTAATGAATTATAAGAAAAACGAATTGATCAGCTTCTCGGATTCCACTGGGACAATAATGATAATCACCACAGATGTTCCGGTAGTGGAACCAAATATAATCGAAGAAGTTGGACGGGTATTTCAGAAAGAGGTGATTTGGAGAAAAGAATTGGATGTATGGAACAGTAAGTATAAAGAAGAATTTAGATCCATAAAAGAAAACGATGCGGACAGTCAAGATTACCGGGCAGTTAAATCGCATGTATCAAATTCGATTCATAGCGATGACCTCCAACCAACGTTGTCACAGGAACAAATGAAGAGAAAGATTTGGGACGAAACTTTCAAGTAAATTATTGATAAATAACTGCTCACAATTCTAGTACTAAATTAAAGTTGGCTAAATAATTTTAAATATGAATAAATAATTTCAGTTGGTGTTTTAATCGTAAAGGACCACAAACGCGTTTAGGTAAAATCAGGGATAAATATTTACAACGAGAAAAGCGTCATATGATTGAGGCCATGATGAAAAAAAAGAATGTTGATCAAAAACAATTAGAAGAATATTTCAAAGCAGTCGAAGAAAACAAGAATAACAAAGATGATATTTCAAATATGAAATTTGAAGCTGATGAATCTTATAGAGACATTGTCAACAAAATATTAACTACTGAAAATACAGAAGAATATGTATAATTGTGGTTTTAAACTTGACTAAACTTTTAACTTAACCAAATCGTTATAAAAAAATATTTATTTATAGATGTTAGAAGTCGATTTAACAAGTAATGAGTCAGTCGACATGATGAAAACAGTTGAAACAATTCAACATCTGTTGGTAACTGACATTGCAGTTGAAAAAGAAAAGTTTAGTAATTACATAAAAAACAATCCATATAAAGCTGACCAAGAAGACTGGGCTCAAGTAATTGAACTCGCAGAAAAGAACGTTAGGGATAGATTAAATGATCCAACTCTTCTAAAAAGTCCAGCCTTACGGTAATTCATTAATCATTAATAAGAAAATACTGAATTTATATCAAGGCTAATTTAAATTTATATTATAAATACTAATCTACCTATGTTTATGAAAAATTTATTTTTATAAAGTATGATGCGCCGAGAATTGGCAAAAAAATATATTAATGAAGGTTATAAGATTAAAGAATGGAAGCCTCGTAAAGATGAGCATGCATTGGATCGGTACAACATAAGAAATAACAAAATAGACGTATTAAGAACCATGTATGGAAAAAGTTATAATCCATCCTGGGACAAGGGCTTGCGACCACAGACAATGAGAGAGGCCATCCGGTTGCGATTAACCGAGGCAACAGATGATAACGATGAAAAATTATATGAAAGTTATTTTGAAGGAAAAAATGGTAAATAAAAACATATAACTATTACCTAGTAATTAGTATACAAAATAAATTATACTTGTTCACATATTCACATACAAAATTTTGTTTCATAGGTGAAGACAACAGCTGTTACGCCGATTATTTGTCATTAATGGGTTCAAGGCCCACGTCCAGTTATCCCGAAGATTATTTAGGCGTCTCTGAAAGAGAACTTATGCTAAACGATGATGACGAAAGAGCTACTCAAGCTACTGAATTAGATGATTCCAATAGTAATAATGATCTAGACAAAATAAGAGATCCATATAACAGCCAACGGTCGTACCATGAATATGAAGAGTATCAAAATTTGGAAACACTTGACGAACATGATCAAGAAGATGAAAAATAATTTTCAATGACCTCGAACGAATTCAATGAAAATAATAATACGATTTAAAATAATTTTACTATATATATATATATATGCATAGTGCATATACATATAGTAAAATAATTTTAAATCGCATTATATGTATAATGTATATATATATATATATATGTGTAACCCACTATTTTAGTTTCGAAAAAATTCTTTCAGTGTTCAAATAATTTAGTTAACTCACTTATAACTTATAAATGCCAAACACTTTATAGTTTATACACTACAATCATATTGTATAATATTATGGTCCATTGGTACTTACGCTGATCTGTATTTTTAATTTATAAGTTTTGACTGTTGGCATTTTTATTATTATTATTTATTAACTATTTTCATTTAATATGATTCTTAAAAAATATTAACGTAAAAAATAGTTTCAAGGTGTATAAAGCTAAACCAATTTTTTTATTCTATATCCAATGATAAATTACATGGATTAAAATAATTATGTTTATTTTATTGAAAATATTGTATTACATTTTAAATCCTTAGCTGTAAAATAAGTATGACAATTTCATAACTACCTACAAAAATATTTGAAAATTTTCGTAATTTTGTCAAAATTTGACCTTTAAATGGTAAAAAAAATAATAATTCCTAAGTATTTTTAATATTTTTGAACTGCTAAAAAATTAATGACTTATGAGGAATCTTGCATTACATTTTCAAAATTTTTGACCGAACGAAAAATTTATTATTGACATTTAAAGAAAATAAAATATATTTCACATGTTTATAAATAACTCGATAAAAATATAAAATTCAAAAAATTTTGAAAATTGTTGGATACACGTCATAATGTCGCTGTAATTTTGTCGCTGTAAAAATGTCGTGAACACAAAAATGTCACGAATACAAAAATGTCGCGAATACAAAAATATCGTGATGTCAAAAATATATATATTGATTTTATAGACTACAGGGTAGTACTACACAATACACATACCTATTATACGTAAAACGAACACAGATTACAAACTGCTCGTCGCAGTGTTCATTATCGCATTTATATTTTAGGTATTGTCCGAGTTGCGGTCGCAATAGACGAATTGCGGTCTTAATAATATTGAAGCTAAAATTAACGTCTTAATTGCTGTCAGTATCCGGTTATCGATTATCCGATGCTCTTATCCAATTTTCACGTCAATAATTTCAAGATCTAACGGTGAAGCAGTATTTAGTACCTATATCAGTATCCTTTTTTTAGCAAAATTTTGTAATTTATTATTTTCACGTATTATTACACCAATTATTATGATACGAAGCGCCAGCTTTATCCACAACGTAAGTCAACGTTATATCGTTTAGTCTATTGCAAGACGTTTTTGTATCAACAAGTTAAAATGCCACAACTATCTGTAATGTATAGTGAAAAAGGGAAAATTTTGCTTGTATTAAATAATTTTAAATTTAGAGAGTACCGTCTTCTTAAGACAGGAGAAATGTCTTGGAGTTGCACTAATAAAAATCGTGAAATGTGTATCATACAAATATGAGTAACTAACACAACTAACTATAAATTTGTATTTTGACGTAACGTATTTTGATCGTTTAATTTTTGTATTTAGCATAATAATATGTAACTTTGTCAATATTTAAAACATAAAAATTATTAATCATATTTTTTTACCGCAACTAGGATTTTTACTTATTTTGATATTTTATCTGTTTTGATCCCGACCGCAACTCGGTATCAACCATATTTTATATTGATATTTTAAAATTAGTTACAATGATATTATGATAAAATATCTGGTATTTCAGCCGATAAAATTGTGTCCAGAAATAATCTATATATCGAATAATTTTATAATATACAGAGTACACAAAAAAATAATAATAATTAAAAATGTTTGTAATAAATAAAATAATAAATTGTATTTTTATGTCAATTGATATTGGAAGTTATACGAAATTCCACCCAGGTAGTCGTTAATTGACCGATTTTCATAATCATCACATATGTCTTTAAGTCGAATTGCAGAATCTTTGTATTTTTTCTTTTTCAGAGGTTTGATGCCAGCAATATATTGTTCAACTTTTAGACGGTTTAAGCTTTCTTTTTTTTTCAGTGAATCGATAAAAATCCAAATAGATGGATGACGAGAACTTAACATTGAACTAAAACAATTATGCTAACCCTCGACTGAATTGTTAGTTCGTGGAATATCATACTTTAATAATGCATAACAATTCCATACATTTATAGAAAATAAAGGGGCTCTTCTCGCTCTCCGGCAGGGTCTTCCGATCCATGTGTCTTCAAAATAGTTGATTAAACCTGATAGACTCTCTTCATTTTCTCTATAAAACTCGGAATCCAACAGAGATTCAAATGCTGAAATTACATTATTTTCAGGTACATAAGCTAAGGCTGCTAGTTTTCTTAATTCGAGTTCAAAATTTGAATCGTTTGTATACCTAACTTGTAGCCCATTTGATTGTACATGTCGCCAAATAGATTGTGTTAAATGGAAAAAACACCCTTTAATGTTAATTGATGGAAAAACATATTTTGAAGCGTTCATAGCAGCTTTTTCAAAATCAAACATCATTGATTTTGGATTAAGCTGTGGTTTTAAAAATTTTAATGCTAAAAACATACGTTTGTAAGTATCTTCTTTTTTATTAGGAAGAAGTATATAAACAGCTGGTACAACTTTTGAATAATTTATTCCATTAATAGTATAGAGTTGGTGGAAAATACTAGGTACGCAAGAAAATGTACCATGGCATAACCAATGTTCACATTGTTCCATCAATTGTAAATTGCTGTCGGTAATAAAAATTAAAAACTGGTCTAAGTTATTTTCGTAATCAATGCTATCATATTTTAAAAAAAGCTCACCGGTTGAAGTTTTTGTGTAATTATCTGGTATTTTGAGTTCAATTACTGATTTTGGATCAGGAGGAGCTGATCTTTTTATTTTTCTAACTCGTTGAATTGTTCGTTTTAATCCTGTTGTACTCGGAAATTGTCCAGCTATGTTGGAAGTGGTCTAAAATCATAAACTAAAAATAATTATTTGAAAATTTTATATTATGTTTATAAATTATGTACCTGTAATGTCAGTGTTCCTAATACAGAATGGGTACTAAGTTGAGTAGTTTTTGCAATATTTTTAAGTCTTGCCATTGCTTCTTTAGCTTCAACTTTTGCAATATCGGCCACATGGTTATGTTCAGTAGTATGAACTACACTTTGTCCAAATTAATGTAATCGACCGCGATATTCTTTGCATTATACTCTACGCACTTCCAAATAATTTTATTTTCGTTTTCTCTTTCTTTCTTGTAAAAAAAAAGAATTAAAATTCAGTCATTTTCCATTTTTTTGGTTTATTATATACTCAAATGCCATAATGTACAGATTATATTATATTATAGAGTTTCTGTTACGGTTGCAGATTACACACTAATATTTATAAGGCGTTAACGCGGCGTTTTTGCTGCGATATTTTATCACGACATTTTTACCGCGACATTTTGACGCGACACCATTTAACGGATTAAGGTGTATCAATACATAATAATTTATAATATTATTATGTGTGGTCTGATAACTTACAATTCTCGCCAACGACCATCACCACGTTGAATACACCAGTTCTCGTCTGATCACTGAAGTTTAGGAACGTCGGGCGTAGTTAGGACTTGGATGGGTGACCGCTGGGGAACACTAAGTGCCGTTGGCTTTTTTTTTAAACACACATTTATAAATAATAACAAACCTTAATAAGATTTTGTACTTTTTTTCTTATTAGATTTCGTTTTTGCGATATTGGCCAAAACTCACTTACTAATGGTAATACGTCTGTGCATATAGAGGAAAAAAATAAACATAATACAAATACTGTATTTATTTATAGTTTTGATTCAACCATTAGTTAGGGAGACTAACTTTTTACTTAGGTACGAGTACTAAATTAGTTAAGTTGACTATATTGAATATTGATATAACCGAATTATAACACGACCGTCTGTTAGAATAATTACCTACATACATTTTGTGGTGCACCTAATTAGATTAAAGTTCAATATTTTGAAAACTTCATTGTGTATATTATAATATACCTATTAAATAATTATAGACGTGTGTAAAAGTGATTAAAAGTTTCAAGTCAAATAATATTTTTAAAATTAAACAAAATAACTAATATCGTTATTTTTCGTCTAAATAGGTACCTATTCAATATTATAAAAAATTGAATTTCAAATACCTATAAATAAAAATCATGACATGATGGATATACATATATTTATTTTAATTGTTATGAGGACAACACTTATGGGAGATATTATATTAAATTTTCAAGGTTTTTGAAAGTGACTAATAATTTTCATAAACACTTGCAAAAAAAAAAACAAAGAAAACAAAAATTACGAAAAATAGTTTAATATTGGAATAAATATTTTAACATTTCATTGTGTAAAGAAAATTAAAGTTTAAGTACCTATAATAGTGGAAAGTATAAAGTTTCTACTGTTCATGTTTTTGAACAGGTAATAACAAAATAACAAACAAATAAATCTTAATTACGCATTTGAATATACAATTTTGTCGTAAATATAGAACTTCAATCGTTCAGAAAAATGTGTGTGGGCTTACGCCTTTACAAGTTTACGTTTAAAATTTTTATTTCCAGTAATAAAAACTTCAGAGAACGCTTGAATTAAATGTTTAAGCTTTTTTATTTAAAAACGAACATTTTATCACATATAAATCGCATAAGAAAAATCATATGTAAAAAATGTAATTTATTTTATCTCTACCTATCTATTGTAAATAGCACAAAAAGAGAGCAAATTATTTTGAAAATAATTTTTATATGTCTAGACAATATTAATACAAATAAATTTGATGAAAATGTAAATTCAGTAGGATATCAAAAGAGAATGATTATTTTATATCATATTGCTTGTATAAGTTGCAAAGCTTATAATAATATAGCAATTTATAATAATTACAACAATTTTTTTGGTATTGATATTGATATATT